GGTTGGATGGAGATTGGGTGGGGGGAAGGGAAGTGGTTGGTGGTGAGGTAAAAACAGGAAACGTACTGCATATTCAAACTGAACACACTGTCACCCCATGGTCTCAACGAGGAACTAGAGATCAACACCATTATCTGAACTCCCTATTATCAAGAACAACAGTTTTAGACTAATTTCCTGGGTGGCAACACTCAAAACTCATCAAGCGTACAACCGTTTCCCCTTTCACACCCCCACACAGGGAGTCCCACCTCTCTCATGGCTTTTACCTACATATATTAGGCCTCTCAGTAGATTTACTGGGCCAAATAAGAAATAATAAAGCAAGCAATCATTTGGTTGGCTGTTCAATAACCATGTTTAATAACCATTCTCCTCCTGTGCACCGTTACCATTAACCATGAACTCCTCCTGTGTCCAATTTACCCGTGCACAGTTATTTCAAACTTTTCCCCCCACTCCGATCATGACAGCTCGTTTCCCGCCCCAGTACCACCCCCTTCTCCCTTGATCGCTCCCATCACTCGGCATTTAAAAACCCTCCTTCCCGCCAACTCTCCACCTGCACCCAGGCTTGATAAAGAAGGATCACCTTCGAAATGCGTTGCCGCCTTATGACTAGGAGTTTCCATACACTCCTCCTCCCTGCTGTCACTTTCGTGCGGCGGACTTTTCCCGCACTTTGACTCCGGCACCTCAGTGCCCGCTCTCATACAACGGCGCCAAGAGCATTCTTCCCCGACTCCTAGCGGACTCAGCCCCTCCACACCACATAGGGGCAGCCCGCGCCCCGCCAGCCCGGTCACCATCGAGGACGCCCGACCCACACAGTGAGGCGGCGTTCTCCTGCTCAACGAGCGCACACACAGCATGGCAGCTCCTCTGCCCATCTCTGTCTCCCTGCAACAAGGACATCACGCTCCCAGGCCTCTGCAGCACCGCCCATCAAGACTCCACCTCTCCGGCGCCCATCGATAGAGACTCACAGCCTCCCTTCCTCCTCCGCCCCCAATACCCAATACCATCTACAAGAACATCCACCTGGACCTCGGCATCGACCACAATAGGGCACCTTCTACGGCACCGTCACCAGCCACGCAGCACACCTCTGTCGTTGACAACACATCTCTACTAACGTAACGGTGAGTCACAGAAATCCCACTTACCTGTGAATGTCCTCCAGCCTCACTACCTGTATTATTCCTTTTTCGTTTACTACACCTGGGTTTTTCATGCCACCGCCTAGTGAAGTAGAGAACTTCTCCATCGCTCCCGCCACCCCTGAACAACGCTCTCAACCACCTGTCCGAGCGAGTACCCACCCCATCACAGTAGGGGACGGCTTCATCACGTCTGCCATCCCTGAACATCGCTCCCAACCACCTGCCTAAACGAGTGCCCACCCTACCGCAGGTGAGTTCAACACTACCCCTCCTTAACCTTCTCAACACTTTTATTGCGCTAGGTTGTGGCGCTTCCGTCTCCAACTTCTGTTTTCTAGCACACTTGTTGTTAGGCAGCCTGGCTTCCTGACCAATCAGCCAGGAGCCGGCTATTACATGCCGCCAGGCTTCCTGATGGGAAAGGAAGCCAACTCCATGCTCCCTCGGCACTACCGATCAGAGGAAGATCTCCCTCCGACCAGAAGTCCCGGTATCGGAGGTAGGTATCGGAGTATTTGGGCGAGTACGAGTTCTCGCCCAAATACTTGGTACTGGCACTGATACCGATACTAGCATCAGTACATCCCTAGCACAGATGATGCAAGATGGAACCTCAATAACATGAAATATGGATAAAGCAAAAGTTAATACATATTCACAAGTGTGCATGCATGCACAATTTTTAATCTGCAACTTCTAAGTGCTGAACTGCACTTTAAATTTGTTTCTACGCATTTTTCTGCCACTGCCTGATGCATGGAAGCCTTGCAGCTTTCTAAAGTCTGGAGTTCAGCTTTGAATTAGTACGCTAAAATAAAAGTATGCATTTAAACATCAATATTATACAGTAACAATCATTACAAACAAAACTGGAATACAGTAACAATCATTGTTATAACCAAATATGGAAAATACATTAGATGGATTCCATAAACCTGTATAGTAAAAGCTGATCAAACTATGGCTGTTGTGTAAAAGCCACAGGCAACCAAGGATGGCATGATAGTTCGGGCACCTCTTGGGAGCTGCACACAGACTGGTCTTTTCTGCAAAGAGTACCATGAACAGGAAAATCTGCAGAATTTAATTAAAAACCATGGGAGAAAGGTACTGCTAACCTACAAATTGGCTACAAAGCGTGGTAGTTATCCTTACTGGCCAACAGGGAGGCAAAGAGAGCAGGGAAGTGCAGAATACATAGCTACTAGAAGAGATCTGCTTTACCCCTAGCACAGACCCCCAGAGTTTAAATTTAGTGAGGGGCTTTGTGGGAGAAAATTAATGCGTGTGCAAACAAACAGGAGGTACCTGTACTACCATGCCACCAGCAGTTTCAGCCACAGGTTTATGATGGTATGAGTTAGCAAGCGGACATACAGGTTTAGACGTCTGACATTAGCACCCCAACGCACCTCTGGATGGTCTCTCATTGCAGAATTGCAGTACCATGCACTGCATTATGGTGGGGAAAAAAGTAGGGCCTGCATAGTGGTTAGCACTTCTGCCTTGCAGCACAGAGTTCCTAGTTCAAATCATGGTCGGGACACTATCTGCAAGGAGATTGCATGTTCTCCCTGTGCTAGTGAGGGTTTCCTCTAGGTACTTCGGTTTCCTCTCACAATCCAAACACCTGCTGTAAGGCTAATTAGCTCCTGCCTAAATTGGCCCTGTATGTATGCATGTGACATAGGCACCTTAGATTGTAAGCTCCTTGTGGGCAGGGACTGATGTGAGTGTGCAATTATGTAAAGCACTGCGTAAAATTGTGGACGCTTAATAAGTACCAATAATGCATAAAATAAATAATAATGTGGCCAACTTGCAAGAACAAGTATAAGGCACGTCCAGAATAAAAGGAGACATTTAACTCCCTACACAAAATGCATGGTCAGGTACAGTGGCTTCTGTAGCAATCACCATATATGAAGCTTCAGTATGAAATTGAGGAAACCTCAATCCAGCAAGGCCTGTCTGATGCATGGGCAGATTATTGTCTGCTTTCTGTTTGCAAACACACTGGCGTGGAGGGGATGGATATGTTAAAATATGGACTTTAACATATTTGGTCAATTACGTCACCCAGGATCTCCCTCTCTCTCACGATCCAGGTGTTTTTATTTAACTTTTATATATGTTTTGGGAATGAGTAGCAAAGGGTACTATATACCCCGCACTCATGCCCCTAGAGGGGTGTGTGTTGGATATCTGAATTCATTCAGGTCTATGTATAAATTTAAACTAAAAAAAAATGCCATATTCTTTATGCAAGCTTTCACTTTGTGGGAGCTGTTATACTAATAGAATAATCAACTGATTTAAAAAATAATCAGCAAGATTTTCAAGGTGCTTCACCACTGACTTCCAGGTTTCGTTTTAAATGAACACAGTATGGTTTGATGAAATCGCTGTATTCTCGAGTCAAAGTTTGAGAAAACACAAATAAATTATGACCAAATTAAATCTTTAAAAAGCATTAAACAGAAAAAGAATAATGAAGAAGAAGAAAGAACCTGTACATCTTCATGTAGACTCCCTACCTCTTCCCGAGTGTCTATTGCAGAACCAGGAGTGGTGGCTGCAGTGCTTACTGTGGTACTAGGTGCTGTGCCAGATGACGTCACCGAATCTATTTCCCCAGCAACGTCATTAATTTCCCGAGCAATGAGAGCCAAATCTTGGCTAATCCTGCAAACAGAATTTGTAAAAGTTTACAACAATTTATAGATGGACAATGATTATTATTGTGTTTATATAAAGTGCATTTACCCTTCGGGACTCATTTACTTCTTTGTGGTGCATTAACATGTGTTAACATTAGGGATGCACCGAAATTTCGGCTGAAAATTGCACTTTTGCCAAAATGCCATCTTTAGGCTGAAATTGCGGTACATCCCTGGTTTCTCTCACCTGGCACAGCGCAGTGTCCAGTGGGGAGGAGAGAAACTGTCACAGGAGGCCGAGCGGTGTGGGGGGAGGACAGCGATGTGAGCGGGCCATCGTCTCTCCTCCAGCACCACTCAGCCTCCTGTGACAGATCAGGAGAGCGGCAATGTGGGGCTGGAGACAGCAGTCACAGGAGGCCAGCAGTGCAGGGAGGAGTCAGCTGTCACAGGAGACCGAGCCCTCCTCCCGCGCCGCTAGCTCAGCCTCCTGTGACAGCTAGTCAGGATAGAGAGTGTGTACAAGCGATCAGTGTTTGTAAAAAATTGAGGACAGAGTATGTTTACTGTGTCCCCAATTATGAATGAATGGGAAGTGATCTACATCACCTCCTGTTCATTCATGATTGTGGACATGGTAAATATACTATCTCCACATGTTATACAGGAACAGGAACACTCAGTATAGAGGATTCATGTTCATTTATAACCGGGGATGCAGAAAAAAAAAGGACAATTTGTGTGTGGAAATAATTTCTATTTCCACAGCTATAACCCATAATGACATATAGGAAAACATAGGAAATCTGAACATCCAGAAGACTACAGACTATTACGCCGTATGCTATTTTATCATGGCATTATGACCAGCTGTAGAAGTGCAAAACAGAAGTACGAAGGACCTGTTCACATTACAGCGCTACACCAAGCGCATGTTACCCGCATGCTTAGCACGTGCTCTCGCTCAGCGCACCAAGCATATGGTCCAAATGCGCTAGGTGCGTCGCTATTCATTTGAATAGCACCCTAATGCACCTCTGGATGGCTGCACCTTGCATTCCAGTGGAAAATAAAGTAGTGCATTTTTCTTTTTTAAGACAATGCATGGTATTGGGGTACCGCATGTTGCACTGCAGCACACAGCTGCCATAAAGTACATTGGGAAGCCATGCAAAGGAATAGTAACACAATGGACCTGGCACATGTGCACAGTAAGTGTGCTGTGTGATAGCGTACACAGTAACAGGTGCTTATACTGTGAACGAGCCCTAAATGTTACATTTTTTACCTCCTTTGGGTCAATGCACCTTTCCTCCAGTAATATTTGACCAACAAAAGGAAGAAGAAAAAAGACCCTATAGATAAAAATAAACCAGAGCTACAGACCAAAGATGAACCCTTGCAACACTAGAGCTGTGTCCCTTTTCCAAAGAGTCAAACATTTGCTAATGCTGGAAGATATGAGCAGCAAAGTGAAAACAAGGATTTAGTTGTGTCACACTTAAAACAGAGCATCATTGGGGAGAACACGCTCTTTCCAGCGTCCACAACAAATGCAGAGATATCTTACAGGGTGGGTTTCCCAACACTTCTACCTACTGCATGAAGACAGCTTGAAAACAGAAGATTCTCTGTCTGCAGACCTGTTGACTGTGTTAAGAGAAGTGGTCTGTACCTCCCGGGAGGTAGCACCTCTTGTTGTCCAAGGTACCCCAACAGCAGCCAGAAGTGTATTTTAGAAATGTGCACCATGATCTGCTTGCTTCGGGGCTCCAAAACAAGCAGCGCACCATTCAAAAGCAGAACTGAAAGTGTTTTTTTTAGAAAATGGCTATCAGGTAGGCTTTTAATGCAGAACGACTATGTTTCTTCTTTAAAAAGGCTCCTCAAACTTTTTTTTCTCCACACGGGAGTTATGTCATCCTAAGCCGGTCAACCAAGATGACTAAAAGACTCCTAACCCAAAAGAAGATAAGTTAAGATGTTTGTAGTGGCAGTGGATGAGGGGGCTTTGGAAGGCAAGGGTCCCATAACATGCAAATATGCTGTACATACTTGCCCTTGGTGAATGCATGTATTCAGTTCTGCATCAAGCAGAGGGAACTCTGTAAAACACTGCATTCTCCACACCATGGCCTACATTTTATGAATTACATGTCAAATGCAAGCTGAGGTGTGCAGTGAGGGTTTATTCAAACCATGTCCGTTGAGCTACAGTTTTCTTTACACAACTGGACATGAATGGTGTGAACAGGGCAACTATAGAAACATATTTTTCCTATGAGCCCTTTTCATACCATACATGTCCAGGGATGTACAGATGTGCGCAGCACAACAAACACAGGAATAAAAAGCCTTAACGCTGTTGCTGTCCAATGGAGAGCGGTATGCATCCTCTACTACAAAAGAACCCCCTATGAGCTTGATACAACCAATAAAACCACTTTCAGCTACTTTTCCTATTAGTTGAAAAAACAAAACACGCTCTTTTTTCACTATGGTGCTGTCACGGTGCAATACGAAAAGTCAGCTAAATAATGTATGTCAGTAAGTTTATTACTGGACTTTTGCTTATGCATTTGTACTCCGGATCCTATCTTTGATTCCTCAACTACAGTATTCACTGAAAATAATCTTTACATTTCATTGTTAATTTTAAAACACTGCTTTAAAGCCTATTGTTATATTAATTAAATGTTGCAGAAATATAAAACGGAATGACATTGGAACCAGTACTAGTGTTATAAATTGTATTTATAAAAATGTTGGGGTTTTGTACGTAGTCTACATTTAATTCAGAAAGTACCTATACAGTTAGCTAATGATAATGCAATGCATGTGTCAAAATGAATGCAATACCTTGCTATTTCCTCACGATGTGCAGTCCAGTCACGAATATAATCTTCTTGTTCTTTTGCCTTATGTTTGAATGAACTAATGCTCAATGCTGCTGATGGTGTTTTAATTGGGCTGTTTCCACTAACTTGTGACTTCTGAATTTTAACAGCTGAAGAAGCGCGTAGACGAGTGGGTTTGGCAGGGTTGCGGTTAGATCCAAATTCATCTTCAGAAGTGGATGCATACTCTGGAGGAACTCGTCTCCATCGAGTATTGCCTATTTTTTTAAATTGAGTGAAAAGACAAAAGTATATATTTAGTTAAAGTGTTAAATATGTACAACTGGAGTGTGAAAAAGTGTGATACAGTTATAAACTCACATAACCTTTACTAGTTTACAGTTTTCTAGCAGACTGACGAGTGACATTAAAATCACAAATATCCACGCCCATGCTGCCTTAAGGACTTACCTTAAATTATGCCTCTTGATCCGATCATCATCTTTCCAGTAGTTTTCAGGAGTCCCTCCAGCGCTGGTGTCTCTTCCTGTCCCACGGTGTCCGTCCGTGTGCACACTGCCAGGCTACGTGCATTGACTTACACTGTGTCTCTCCTCTTCTCCCGACCAAAGATCTCTACTGCACATGCGCCAGCCCCATCATGCAGCTTGGCCGCTCGAGAATCTTCAGATCTTCGGACAGGAGCGAGCGGTGGAGACACAGGTAAGTAAAACCCTTTTCGGTAATTTTTAAAAAAATGTTTTTGCATATATCTACTGCTAGCAAGCAAAAAAAATTAAAAAGTTTCATTAAACTTTAACCCTTTCGCTGCCAAGCCCTCCGGAACATTTTTCAAATCAGCTGGCCAAGCCATTTTTGAATTTTCTGCAATTTTTTCCTATTGATTTGATTTTCAACTGCTGCGTTGCTAGCGTTTGTAAAAGACCCCCCAAACCATATATTTTCTGAAAGCGCAGGCCCGGTAGAATAAAAAGATGGTGATATGCGACCATCAGCTTATAGTAGAACTGTAAATGCCAGGTCCGTATGGCATACTGACCTGGCCAGCTGGAAGCACTTTTGTAGGTCCGTATGCCATACGTCCTTGGCAGCGAAAGGGTTAAAGCCCAAATTAAGTTTGATTATAAAAACAAGAAAGATACTTTGACGGTACAGCAAAATAGGCATTATGCAATTAATTGTGTTTTTTAATTATTTAAAAATCCCTTTGCAGTTTTTTTTCCACTTGGTGTGTGTGTGTGTGTGTGTGTGTGTGTGTGTGTGTGTGTACACTCACATGAAGT